GGAGGCTGAGGCAGGAGAATCGCTTGAACCTGGGAGGCGGAGGTGGCAGTGAGCTGAGATCGCTCCATTGCCCTCCAGCCTAGGCAACAAGAGTGAAACTCCATCTCAAAAAAAAAAAAGAAAAGAAAAGAAAAGAAAGAAAAGACAAGAAAAGAAAATTAAGAAAATTCATTGTGGTGGTGGATGCACAACTCTGCAAATATTATACTAAAAGCCACTGGATATTATACTTCAAATGGGGGAATTGTATGGTATATGAATTATACCTCAATAAAGCTGCTTAAAATGTTCAATATTTACTCAACTACAATAAAGAATGTGGATACTGCATGAATGAAGAGGCAGAAAAATTTAAATGGAGATGGTGTAAATAAAGAAATGTCAGAAAACAGAAGAAATCAGTAAAAATGAGATAGGAAAATGGGGTAGGGAAAATCAAGGTAATGGTCACTGAACAATAGAACATGAAAAAAAGAAGCCAGAGGAAGCAGAGGAGAGAATAATGATGCAAGGAAAGATAAATGAAGAAAAAGGGGGAAGAATGATAAAGGACAAAGGAAAATCAAAACAAGAATAAAAGAAAAAAGAAGATACTGATGAGAAGGATAGATCAGAAAATAATAAGGACAAGATAAAAAATAAAGGACTAAGTATCCATAGTAGATGCTTTAAAATATTTTTAAATAAGAAGAAATTGCTATGATTCAATAACCCCAATATTTTGTGCAGACCTGAGTCTTGAGATTCCCTACAGACAGCACGTCTGTAGTTTCTGGGACACTGAACAAATTACAGATGGTAATAATGATGGAAGAAATGACAGCCAAATAAAGGACCTGGAACGCCTTGCTTTTACTTTTCTTCCTAAGAGTAAAAATTGCTGGATGGAGAAGAGAGGGAAGAAAGGGAAAGAGAGGTAGGGGAGGTCCATTTTGAATGAGTTTCCCAGGACTGGATAGAGAATTTTCTCAGGTGAGTTTTTGAAATCCTGCTCTGCCTTTCCCTTGGCTGATTCAAGCTAAGGGCCGGCAAACAAGTACAAAAAATTCATACCAGATATTCTATATTCTGTCATTACTGTAATATAAAAAGAATAAAACCACTGAGTTCAAAGGAAAGAAAAAATAGGCATCTGGGTTCACGTAAGACTTTCCCCGTCATCATTGCTAAGTGATAATAGGTGAAGTCTTAATGGCTTCCCTTTAAAAAACGAAAAACAGCTGGGCGTGGTGGCACACACCTGTAATCCCAGCACTTTGGGAAGCCGAAGCGGGTGGATCATGAGGTCAGGAGATGGAGACCATCCTGGCTAACACAGTGAAACCCCGTTTCTACTAAAAATACAAAAAATTAGCCAGGCGAGGTGGTGGTCGCCTGTAGTCCCAGCTACTCAAGAGGCTGAGGCAGGAGAATGGCATGAACCCAGGAGGCGGAGCTTGCAGTGAGCCGAGTTCGCGCCACTGCACTAAAGCCTGGGGATCTCAGAGCGAGACTCCGTCTCAAAAACAAAAACAAAAAACAAAACAAACAAAAAACAGAATAAACCAGTAAGACTTGAAGCGATTTCTTCATAGCATGTAGGAGTGGGATGGATATACCTAGCTTTCAGATGATAAGAGCAACTGAAAATTTCCATTTAACAAAATGCAAATACCTTGTTTCCAAGTTATGTATAACTTCTATCAGTTTATTTTCTAAGCTGAGGATACTTGTAATTTTGTACCATCAATGTGAACCTTAGCAAAGTTTTACATTGAGCCTTGAACAACAAACATTTCAAATGAAATTTCAAGTGTGATTATCTGGGTATATTTCAGTAGCACTACTTGGCCACAAACACTGATTATCTCAGTAAGACTAAACTTTGCAAAGGCCTTCCCCTAGCTAACTGCAGACATTAGGCATTAGCCCCTTCTTTCCAGCGCATTTATGGTCTCCACAGTCTACTTCCCTGTTTGACCTTTGTAGACCTCTAGATAGTTGTAACTGGCTTGGGGTGACATCTTGTTTGATGAAAATTTAAAAGTCTGACATTTGTCCCTTCTAGAGAATTGGTAACCCCTAATTCCTTGGAAAGTATCCTTTAAAGTCTATGGACATTTTTCTATAGTTGGACAATTAGAATGGCATAGATGCCTTGAACACTGATATTTAGTGGTAACAGCCAGTTTCTCCCCAAAGGCTTTTGTGCTAGTGTGTTACGACAGACCGATGCTCTCCTGAGATGAAGCCATGTCCATCTTCAGATGTGTACTGCAACTATTAACCGAACATTATTATTATCATTTGGAAGAATGGATAGAGCCAGTTTCACTTGTGGACTCAAACACACTAATGAGTACTGTTGCAAATTCCTGTATCCAGAGCTATGTTACTGCAGATGTTTAGAAACTAGAACAGTCCTCACATCACCATCACGGAGTTATGCACAATGTCACAGGACAGCTACCATGGCTCTTGCTGGCATTCATGCATTCATCCTAATGGATATTCAGATGTTCCTCTTCCAGGATCATCATGTTTTTCAAACAGCAAGTGAATTGTGACATACCTATTAAGCAATCACCAGCTAGAAAATACTAAGTAATTTCCTGATATTCTGTTGGTGAGAGCTCTGTGCCTATGTCTGTTACGGATAGTATCTATATCTGAAGCTGCTCCTTTGATTTCTAAGATATGTAGTTTTGTGACCTCTCTGGCTAGGGACTTTTTCTGAGCTCTTAAAGTGTTAAATTTGTAATTTAACAAAGGGATTCATTGTAGAGTCCACACACACTTGATTCTGTAACTATTTTCTAAAAATTTCTACAAATTTCTTAGTGAGAAAGATCAGCTGTGTGATATAAACAGCATGGTAATGCTATCATCAGACTTGCTTCTCTGTCTGTAAAACTTAGATTTTTGTAAAACTTAGATTTCTTATCAATTACTGCTGGTATGTTCTTTATGTGAAGTTCTTTTTAGAATAATGGAATAAAAGTCATGTGCTAATCTTGGATAAAGCAGGGACAGTGATGGGCCTAGCTATGGTATGTGTTTGTGCCCCAGATTGTCAGGGCTCAGCATACTATCGATCAAGGTCTTTTATCTTGGTTTCTTGAAGGTGGTGGCATGAAAGTCTTTTCTGTGTATAAATCCAAGCAAGCAGGGTGAGTCTTTATAGTGCTCCTGAGCAACCACTGAAAGCTCAAAGTCTGCTAAAATTTAAGGTCAAACCAAACTGAATTGCCTACTGAGAGATTGTGGAAGGAGTTTATACCACCTGCTCTTGTCCTGCATCCTTTCATTTAAGTCACCCGGCAGTATCCTATTTAAGGCCATTGAAGGAAGTTCGCAGAGCACCAAGGGGTAGCAGTAGTGAGAAGGAGCCAAATTCAGACACATCTGATTGTAATTAAATACTGTTGGACAGGCCAGGTGCAGTGGCTCACGTCTATAATCCCAGCACTTTGAGAGGCCAAGGTAGGTGGATCACTTGAGCCCAAGAGTTCAAGACCAGCCTGGTCAAAATACCGAGACCCCATCTCTACAAAAAATTAAAAAGTTAGCCAGGTGTGGTGGCATGCACCTGTGGTCCCATCTATTCAGGAGGCTGAAGCAGGAGGATCACTTGAGCCCATGAGTTTAAGACTGCAGTGACCCATGATGGCACCAGTGCACTGCAGCCTGGGAGACAGAGTGAGACCTTGTCTCTATAAAAAGAAGTATTAAATACTGTTGGAAGTATATACCTTCCTACTGCAAAACAGGAGCCCAGGGTTGACAGAAGTAAAAAGAATTCAAATGGAATAAATAATTAGAAAATCACAGTGTCACTTTGGGAGGCCAAGGCAGGTAGATCACCGGAGGTCAGGAGTTCGAGACCACCCTGGCCAACATGGTGAAAACCGGTCTCTACTAAAAATACAAAAATTAGCCGGGCGTGGTGGCAGGCGCCTGTAATCCCAGCTATTGGGAGGCTGAGGCAGGAGAATCGCTTGAACCCGGGAGGCGGAGGTTGCAGTGAGCCGAGATCGCGCCATCGCACTCCAGCCTAGGGGACAAGAGCGAGATTTCATCTCAAAAAAAAAAAAAAAACAAAGAAAAAGAAAAGAAAATCACAGTGTTTTCTGAATTACATGACAACTTTTTTTGCTTCTTTTTTTGAGATCTCGCTCTGTCACCCAGGCTGGAGTGCAGTGGCGCCATCTCAGCTCACTGCAAGTTCCACCTTCCAGGTTTTAGGCCGTTCTCCTGCCTCAGCCTCCCGAGTAGCTGAAACTACAGGCGTGCACCACCATGCCTGGCTAATTTTTTGTATTTTTAGTAGAGATGGGGTTTTATCATGTTAGCCAGGGCGGTCTCAATATCCTGACCTCGTGATCCACCTGCCTCGGCCTCCCGGAGTGCTGGGATTACAGGCGTGAGTCACCGCACCGGGCCAATTACATGACGATTCTAATTCTCCACCTCTCTGTGCTAGCTCCTTTTCAGCACCTACTGTAACCAAATCCCCACCTGATTTTTTGATTAAAGTGGGTGCAGTTGTAAAGGCAGCTTAGGAAAGTGGAATATGGAGCCTAAGGTGAAGTAAGTCTTAGGAAACCTGCCTCTTGGTGCTTTCCATCATCCTCACAGAAGGTCGTACCTTGTTCTTCCCTATTCCACCTCTTCTCAGGCAACCCTGTTCTCTCTATTTTCAGTCTCTGTTCAGGAGCTGAGGTGACAGCTGCATTTACCCTACCTGAATGTATCTCTTACGTGTTCTGGACACTGAAAAGACAGCACTGCTGTTCTAATGAGCTCAGAAACTAGACACTTTAAATTTCCCTTCATATATCAGAGACAGTGGATCTGGCAATCCAGAACCAAGGAGAAAGTTTTTGTTGTTGTCTCCAGGAGAGTCTTCTGCCCATGCTTTCAATTTAGATGTTATTAACTAACATCTTAGTAAACACTCAGCTGAGGACATGATTTTGCAGGAATTCATAGGATAAAATGAGGAGGCATGCTAGAGGGAGGTGAAAACACTAAGTATGGCAGATGGTGGGCACCATTTTTATACCTCCTTCAACTCCTTGTCCTGAAGGTTCTTAGCTGGATGTGAGCTACTAGGAGGTGGTAAAGTCATGAGAATTACACATGGAGGCTAGTGAACATGCCATCATTAATCTAAGATTTCTCAAAAGAAAGTGGAATTTTAGACGTAGTCTAAGTATGTACTAATGAATCGGTTTAATTTAATGAATGCTCACATAATGTGCTTAGGTACATTGCCAGCTGGAAGGAAATTGCTACAAGCAACTCTTCGGCTAATTTCAAAGGTAGGTGATTTTTAGCAGTACCTTATAGGAAATTCTCGTGAACAAAAAATGCATTCCACACACGTATTTCTAGGCATTTAACCTTTCAGTAATCTGCATAGTATATAAATTTAGATGCATTTGTCAAGTCATTTTTACCTTTGTATGTAAGATTGCTATTTGGGAATAGAGGGAAATGTCCTATATTATTTAAGGTTGAATAAAATGATTTTAAAAATATGAATCCTTTTTTTTTTTTTGAGACGGAGTCTCACTCTGTCGCCGAGGCTGGAGTGCAGTGGTGCAATCTCGGCTCACTGCAAGCTCCGCCTCCCGGGTTCATGCCATTCTCCTGCCTCAGCCTGACTGCAGGTGCCCACCATCACGCCCAGCTAATTTTTTGTATTTTTAGTAGAGATGGGGTTTCACCATGTTAGCTAGAACAGTCTTGATCTCCTGACCTTGTGATCTGACTGCCTCGGCCTCCCAAAGTGCTGGGATTACAGGCGAGAGCCACTGCACCTGGCCAAAATATGAATCCTATTTTAAAAGTTACTAGTCAGGCACGGTGGCTCACACCTGTAATCCCAGCACTTTGGGAGGCTGAGGCAGACGACTCACTTGAGGTCAGGAGTTTGAGACCAGCCTGGCCAACATGGTGAAACCCTGACTCTACTAAAAATACAAAAATTAGCTGGGCATGGTGGCAGATGCCTGTAATCTCAGATACTCTGGAGGCTGTGGTAAGAGAATTGTTTGAACAGGGAGGTGGAGGTTGCGGTGAGCCAAGATTGCACCACTAAACTCCAGCCTGGGTAACAGAGTGAAAAAAAAAAAAACCAGTTACTTATAGTTTTAGTAATGGTTTTTCATGAGCAGACTTCATTTGGTAAAATAAATGCCTCAAAATGTTGAAAATAGTTTTTAGATTCTAGGCCACTATTGTTCTGCCAGTAGTTAGCAGTACTGAAATGCTGAAAGTGAAAGCCAGCATGTTGAAGAAGAGTGTCACCAGACCCCAGAAACGCCAATAATTTTAACATAGCCAAAGCCTAATGATGGTGTATGAGTTCTGTCCTAGTAGCAGATAGGAGAAGCAGTAAAGCAAAGAGGTTAGGATTGTGGAGTTTTTTGTTTGTTTGTTTGTTTTTGTTTTTGTTTTGAGACAGGGTCTCACTCTGTTGCCCAGGCTGGAGTGCAGTGGCCCAGATCTCAGTTCACTGCAGCCTTTGCCTCCCAGGCTCAAACGATTCTCCCACTGCAGCCTCCTGGGTAGCTGGGACCATAGGCACACACCACCATGCCCAGCTAATTTTTGTATTTTTGTCAAGATGGGATTTTGCCATGTTGCCCAGGCTGGTCTTGAACTCTTGGACTCATGTGATCTGCTCATCTTGGCTTCCCAAAGGATTGTGGAGTCTTGATTCAGAGTGCCTGGGTTTGATTTTTGGCTCCACTCTTTACTGGCTATATGATCTTGGGCAAGTTACTAGCTCAGTTTCCTCATCAGTAAAATAACAACAGTAGTACCTGGCACATAGGTTGTGAGAAAATGAGATAATCATGCTCAGAACTTAGAATAGTCCCTATCTCATAATGCATACTCCATAACTATGAGCTATCCTTAGTATTTACCAGTCCACCTATTTCCAGCTCATTGCCACCCACTCAGCCCAAGTTGCCTTCATCCCTCTACAGGCTTCTGCAATAGCCTCCAAACCAGTGCCTCTCCATTCCCTTCCTGCACAGTAGATAGTGATCTTTTACATATTTAAATCAGCACAGAGACCCAGCACAGTGGCTCATGCCTATAATCCCAGCACTTTGGGAGGCCAAGTTTGGAGGATTGCTTGAGGCAAAGAGTTCAAGACCAGCCTGGGCAACAGAGAGAGACTCTCACTCTACAAAAAATAGAATGTCAGCAGGGCATGGTGGCATGCATCTGTAGTCCTTGCTACTTGGGAAGCTGAGGCGGGAGAATCGTTTGAGCCCAGGAGGTGGAGGCTGTGTGATTGTGCCACTGCACTCCAGCCTAGACAACAGAGTGAGACCCTGTCTCAAAAAAAAAAAAAAAAGGAAACAATATAAATTACTGAGTTAAAAGAAATTACTGTGAAAAGAAGGAAAGATATAGGATGGTAGTTGAAAGGAGCACAAGAGCAAGTGAAAATTATTTTAAGTAGTGGAGATTTACATAACCAGTCAGTGAAGGTGATACATTGAAGATGTTGGCATTAGAGAAGAGGAGAATGTGTGTCACTTCTTCAAGAAGCAAGAGAAGATTTAGAAACATGAGCTCTTGAGAGGAAAAGGGCATCTCTCCCTTTATGAATAAAGAAGTTAGCTAATAGTTAATTACAGAGCACCAACTAAATGCCAGATGCTCTAAGTTCTTTACATGCACTGTCACATTTAATTCTTGCAGGAATATGATGAAGCAGGTGCAGTTATTATCCCCATTTTACAGATGAGAACACTAAGACTTAGGTTAAATAATTTGTCCCAAATTACACAGTTAGTTACTAGTAGATCAGACCTAAAACCCAGGTCCTGCAGAGCCTTTTGTAGGGATGGACAGTGATATGTGGGAGTGAAAGTGGGATGAACTCAGAAATTTGGAGCATTTCTGGTTTCAGGTGAAGATATTTGCTTTAAGAGTGATGAAAAGGAATGTGGAACAGACTGACACACAGTAGCATTTTGAATGAACATCTTATTATATCTGGTATCTTTCTAATCATTTGTCACTTCTCTTTAGGATTCAGGTTTGATGAAGCACAGAAAAACATATATGACTATGGAGGAGATATATCAAAAATGCAAATGGGAACACCAGATCATACTTACTGTGAAAATGTTTATCAAGAACCAAATGTAACTAGATTAACGCCTGATTCTACTTATGGACTATAAAGTACTTTATTTCTATTCTGAGTTATAGACCTTTGAGCCCTCCATCCATCAGTTATAGTCAAGGGATAGTGTATTCTGACTGGAATAACTTGTGTATATATTCTGGGCACAGAATCTAGCTCAGTTAAGTAAGGAAAATTGAGCAGAAATAGAACACTGGACTGAATGGCAAATATAGAAATTGTTCCTAGTATTCTGAGAAACTGTAGTATTCTAACAGTTACACTTAAGTAAAGAGACTACATTTAGGTGCAAGAAGCTTCAGACTGATTATTTTGCATGTTTACTTGAGGCATTTAGTGCAATCACGGAAGGCAGAGCTTTCGGTCCCTTTATCCCATATCCAAGTGTGCCTTGCTTCTTCCCCCATCTCCCACTTTTATCCTCTCATTACTCCGTTTTTTTTCTTCACTGAACTTTTTTCTTTCTTCCTCTTAATTCTCTGTCTGCTTACTCATTATAGTTGTCTTTGCAATTCTGTTTCTCTCATACTTAGTTACTGCCTATTTTATGTCATAGTTATTTCTTTCGTTTCTTTTGTAATGTTGTTTATCTTTCCTTGTTTACATTTTTCTCTTTACTTGCTTTCATCAATGTTGCACTTTCCTTTTTTCATTTTCCTTTCTAGATCATTCCCCTAATCTCAGTTTTTTGGGGCCTACGATTTGCCTTCACTACTCTGCATGCAATACAATTCTTTGGATTCCCATTCCCTTTCTTCCAGGTTAGAGCAATGAATTAGTTTTTTATCACTGCATAATAAATTACCCCAAGACAGCAGCTTAAAGCACCAAAAGTTTTTATCTCGTTCAGTTTCTGAGGGTTAGGAAACTGGGAGTGGTTTAGTTGGGTGGCTCTGGCTTGAAGTCTCTCAGGAGGTTGCAATAAAGATTTTGGCCAGGGCTGCAGTCAGCTGAAAGCTTGACTGGGTTGGAGAATCTGCCTACAAGACGGCACACGTGAACAGTTGTTGGCAGGAGGCCTCAATTCCTTGATACATAGACCTCCCCATAGGATAGCTTGAGTGCCCTCATAACATGGCTGAGCAAGCAACCTGATAGAGAGAGAGAGAGAGCAAGGAAGAAGCCACAATGCCTTTTAAGACCTAGACTCAGAGGCCACACACCATCCCTTCTGCCCTATTCTATTAATTAGAAATGCATCAAGTCCAGCCTATACTTATGGAGAGGGGAATTAAGCTCTATCTCTTAAAAGGAAAACTGTCACAAAATTTGTGAATACATTTAAAATCAACACAGAGAAAAGGAACAATCTTAGTGGTTCCTTTCAAAGGAAACCATAAGACATTGGTACAGATAGTTTATTTAGGAGATGATCCCAGAAAACACAAATTAGAAATTAGAGAATTAGAAATTAGAGAAATTAGAAATTAGAGAAACGGAAGGGAGAAAAGCCAAAAAACATTTGTGTTAAGAATGGGTTATTGCTGTGGGTGTCCAGGCCTCAGTTTGCTAGGAATGCTCTGAGGAACCATACAGAATGCACGTCAGAATTGTCCTGCTAGTGGACGGAGAAACCAGGTATTTATCTACCAGCATGAGGAGCCAAACATGACCAGGCAGCAATCATAGCTTTAGGTTCAGTGGAATCCTTATTGTGACCTCCAGGGGAGCCATTCCCTCACTGGATACAGGGAGGATAACATGTAACCAGTGGCTACATGGACTCAGTTCTGCTGAGTCTCAACTTGTAGGAACAAGAAGCACAAATTCCCAAGGGATCACTGAGAGTAGTGGCGAGAGGGGCCAACCTTATTTCCATCCCTTGGTTCTTGGACTCATATGTCATAACCCTATTTAAGTTATTTAGACAGAGCACCATATAATGGCCCTTGGTTCAATATATATATCACATCCTGGAGGAAAATGCTCCAACCTAGCTGCATGTCCTACTCAAGCTAGAACCTTAGGTTACTCTTTAACAGGCCAATTTAACACTCTAATAGTTTCTGGATTGTGTGGCGTATGATAGGACTAGTGTTTTCCATGGTCATATACTCATTTTTAAAATTTCTTTACTGTAAAATTGGTCCCTTGGTCAGAAAGCCCATAATAGTAAATCATGCATTTTATAGGTCCTTAGATAGTGGTTCTGATAGAGCCACCATGGTCAAGAAAGGCAAATCCATACCTGGACCAAGTAGCAATCCCTGTTAGGAATGAATTGCTGCAATGTCCAAATAAGAATGGGTCTATTATAATCATGTTGCCACCAAATAACTGATTGGTCTTTTCAAATGATGGTGCCATATCAAGGCCAAGTGTCATTCAGCAGTGGAAGCAGCTAGATTAGTTTTTCTGAGAAAAGGCCCATGATTTTGGGCCCTTGGCTTCCATCCATGCCATCATGACTCTTCTGTACATGAGCTAATTGCATAAGGACTAGGGTGGCCAAGAGCATGTTGGCTGGCCCTCAGTGCCAAAGTCACCTTATCCATCTGGTTGTTCAGTGTGTCTTCTGCAGTGGATGCTCTCTGGTAAGCATAAAAGTGGTAAGTGAAGATCCACACCTTATAAGTCAATCGTTATGACATTTCCCAGATTTCCTTGTCTCTGATCTGATTTTGCCCTTTCTGAGTTAAGTACCTGACCAATGAGTCAAACTATTGGCCACTGCCCAAGAATCCATGTATATCTCTCCTTAAGGCTACTTCTTGCTCAATAAGAAGTGAATGACCAAGTATAGTGCTCAAAGCTTTGCCCACTAGGATTTTCCCTTACCACTGTTCTTTAGGGCTATACCTAAGTGGGGCTGTAGTAAGGCATCAATCCAGTTTTAGCTTGAGCCAACTCATTCATGAACAAGGCCCAAGTTCATAGGGAACTTCTCTACCTTGAGTGACGTACCATAGTATACCATAGTCAGTATCATCAGCGTGGGCTGAGAGAAAAGCATTTGGGCAACTGAATTAGGTGACGTTGAGATGAGGGCTCTTGCTGTGTAACTTACTTGTGCTTTTCAAATCTGCTGGAGATAATTCCCAAATGTCTCATGTAATGGGTATCTACTGTGTCTGCTAGATCTGACCATTCACAGCAAATAACCTTCCCCCATGAAATCTGTCAGATATTATCCCTGTTTGAGAAACTATATCCATGACTATTTACTCTCCAAGACATTCCATGTAACATTTATCACCAAGCCCTGCTTAAGGAGTAAGAAAGTAAAGCAGCTGGCCTGTGCTCCCTTCACCTTGTCAAGGGAACTTCTAGGTATATCTAATGTTATTTGTCCTTGTGTAGAAGTTCCTTAGCAGGCTGACCCCGAGTAAGGGTTACTTAAATAAACCCAGGAGCTATGGATTTCTGAGGCATGGCTTCCTGAAGAATGTTATTTAACCTATACGATTCCATGGGGTATCAAATTGAGACGTTTTGTGATTTAAATATCCCTGCTCTGTGTAATGCAAACCCACAAAACCTTTACTGGAGACCTAATCTGTTATTCTAGGCCAGATAACCCATGTTCAGTGTGGCTGAAGCTCCACAGTCCAGCTGTCCCAGACCTTTCTCTGCCTTTTCTGAGCCTCGATTCCCTGTATCATTGAAATTATTTGTAAAACTTCATACTGAATGAAATCTTTATGTGAATCTGACATGACAATCCAATCTTTTGTTAGTTCACATACTAATATCATCACGTAAATACCTGCTGAATTCATGTATTTCATCTGTGCTGTCACAAACATAGACCATGCTACCATCATCTTTTGCTAACTGGTTTCTTTGACTCAGGTCTTGTTTTCCACACCACAGCCAAAGTGATCTTTCTAAATACAAATGTATTTAATTTTCTTCACTTAAAACACTTCAGTGCCACCTCATGGCAGCCAGGTTAAATCCAAACTTTTAAATATAGTTACAATGTCCTTGATGAGTGATATGGTTTGGATTTGTGTCCCCGCCCAAATCTCATGTAATTGTAATCCCCAGTGTTGGAGGAGGGGTCTGGTGGGAGGTGATTGGATCATGGGGGTGGGTTTCCCCCTTCCTGTTTTCATGATAGTGAGTTCTCACGAGATCTGGTTGTTTAAAAGTGTGTAGCGTGTCCCCTTTGCCCTCTTCCTCCTGCTCCAGCCATGTAGGACTTGCCTGTTTCCCCTTCACCTTCTGTCATGATTATAAGTTTCCTGAGGCCACCTCAGCCATGCTTCCTGTGCAGCCTGTGGAACCAGACCCAACTTAATCTCTTTTCTTTATAGATTACCCAGTCTCAGGTAGTTCTTTATAAGCAATGAGAGAACAGACTAATACAATGATCTTGCCCCTCTTCACTTCTCCAGACTCACCTTTCTCCACTTTCCATCCCCATACTATTAATATTCCATCATCTTCATTTGCACTCTATAACCCAGCCATATTGAAGTTTTCAGTTTTGTAAATGCACGATTCTGTCTTCCCACCAGCTGATTGCCCTGTATGAAATGCTCCCTCATCAGTTCCTCCAATACCATTTTTCTGATATTCTATGGAATATTGGTGAGTGTGGTTGTCCCTTGGCATCCCCAGGGGATTTGTTCTGGGCTCGCACAGACACCAAAATCTGCGGATGCTCAAGTCTCTTACATAAAACAGTGTCATGTTTACATATAACCTATACACATCCTCCTGTATTAGTTTAAGGCATCTCCAGATGACTTGTAATACCTGATACAATGTAAATGCTATATAAATAGTTGTTATACTATATTGCTTTAAAATCTGTGTTATTTTAATTGTTATATTGGTATTTTTTATGTTTCAGATATTTTTTATATGCAGTTGGTTGAGTCTGTGAATGCAGAACCCTCAGATATGAGGGCCAACCATGTTTATTTGGCTGGAATTAACACAAAAAAAATCTGATTAATAGTGATTTAAACAAAGAGGACTGTTTTCCTCAAATAGGCTATTCCACAAGTTACGTTTGTTCAGCTATTTAACGATGCCATCACATAGCAAGGCTCTTTCTACCTTTTTGCTCTACCATCTTTAATATGTGGCTTGTTGTGTTTGAGC